TTCCTCGGTCCCCCTTCCACATCAGAAGGCTCCCCTTTCATATAAAAGTCCTCTGTAACCTCTTCCACTTCCGAGTCCTCAGTCTCTCACCTTTTGCAACTGAGTCCTCAGTCCCCCTTTTAAGTCCAAGTCCTCATCCCGTATTTTTTACTTGAGACTTATAGGCCAGTCATAGATCAATGCTATGCAAAAATATGAGATCTGCAGCCTGGCACCCCTAACAAGCCCAGAAGACGCTCTAGGGTGCTCTGGTTGAGTAACGCAACTCTAGAAAGCAGTTTGCCCTGCAAAATGGTCTCTTTTTTTATGCAGGCCAGACTGTGATCCTGGTTAATCTCCCATGAGCCTCTGCAAATGTTTTATTATCCAGTTCCATTAATATGATGCATATTGCTGTTGTGTAAAGTAAATTTCTGGAAGGAATTAGTCCCATTTCATGCACTAATCACTGTTGTCTTGGCAAGGTAGGCTGTGTGCTGGGTCAGAGTCGGTACCTGACCGGTTTGTGCCATGAAAGGTCAGAATTTATTGTGTCCTTTCAATGTAGGCAGCCGTTGTCTATATACAGAAAATCACTAATCTTGAAATAGAACCAAATGTTTTAGAATTTTAAATGGGAGTGTCTGCTTTTGTGAATATCACCTGAATGATGTTGGTGCTGTAACGAGGAAAGCTGCAGTGTCTGCATCCCTATAGAGGTGGCCTTGGTCCTTGTTCACCATGGCTTGTGCTTGTATAAGAGCGCTGTGTACAGCGAGCTTTCAAAACATTTGCAGGGCTTTCTGTAAGCTTTGTTGAGGCCTTTAAATCAGCCTTTCTCAATCAGGGTTCGGTGGAAGGCTAGGGTTCTTCCAGAGGTTGCTAGGGCTTCCATGAGGAAGGAGCAATTTCTGCTACTGAAACCAGTGATATTTTTTTTTTTTTTTTTTAGCTATCTGTAAGGGGATTCTCCCCACTGGCCACACAAATGTAAGGAGCATTCTTCTCCTTGACCCGATCTAATGTACAGTGAGCTGTAGATACACTGATTTTTTTGCAGGTTCTCGTTATTTCAAGGGTTCCTCTGTATTAATTGGGTTGAGGAAGGTTGCCCTAAAGCAGGGGTCTCCAAACTTTTCGAACAAAGGGCCGGTTTACTGTCCTTCAGCTTTTAGGAGGGCCGGATTATGGGCAGTAGGAGTAGAAAATGTCCCGGGCCCAGCATCAGTGAAACGAAACATGGCCTCAGAATTGGTGGTCAGTAGGAGGAAGAGTAGTGCCCCATCATTGGTATTATTGGGAGGAATAGTGCCCCATCATTGGTATTATTGGGAGGAATAGTGCCCCATCATTGGTGTCTATGGGATGAATAGTGCCCCATCATTGGTATTAGGAATAGTATCCATTCATTGATAACAGTGGGAGGAATAGTGCCCCATCATTGGTGTCAGTGGGAGGAATATGCCCCATCATTGGTGTCAGTGGGAGGAATAGTGCTCCATCATTGGTGTCAGTGGGAGGAATAGTGCCCCATCATTGGTGTCAGTGGGAGGAATAGGCCCCATATTAGTTCAGGGAGGAATAGTGCCCCATCATTGGTATTATTGGGAGGAATAGTGCCCCATCATTGGTATCAGTGGGAGGAATAGTGCCCCATCATTGGTATCAGTGGGAGGAATAGTGCCCCATCATTGGTATTATTGGGAGGAATAGTGCCCCATCATTGGTGTCAGTGGGAGGAATAGTGCCCCATCATTGGTGTCAGTGGGAGGAATAGTGCCCCATCATTGGTGTCAGTGGGAGGAATAGTGTCCCATCATTGGTATCAGTGGGAGGAATAGTGCCCCATCATTGGTGTCAGTGGGAGGAATAGTGCCCCATCATGGTGTCAGTGGGAGGAATAGTGCTCCATCATTGGTATTAGTGGGAGGAATAGTGCCCCATCATTGGTATCAGTGGGAGGAATAGTGCCCCATCATTGGTATCAGTGGGAGGAATAGTGCCCCATCATTGGTGTCAGTGGGGGGGAATAGTGCCCCATCATTGGTGTCAGTGGGAGGAATAGTGCCCCATCACTGGTGTCAGTGGGAGGAATAGTGCCCCATCATTGGTATCAGTGGGAGGAATAGTGCCTCATGTCAATGAGAGAAATAGTGCCCCATGGGCCAGATAAAGTCTAGCAAAGGGCCACATTCGGCCCTCAGTCCACAGTTTGGAGACTCCTGCCCTAAAGCATAATTTATCTCCAGTTTGGGAATTTTAAAGTGATTTAAAGGATTACATTTTATTTATTTTTTAACTGTTTTACTTACCTGCTCTGTGCAGTGGTTTTGCACAGAGCAGCCCCCATCCTGCTACGTTGCGGTCCCTGTTGGTGCTCTTGGTTCTTCCTTCCTGCCACTTGATATGGGGGCACTTTTGTGGGGTTGCTCCTGAGCCATGCTCTGTGTGTCCATTTAGTGTGGCTTGACCCCCCCCCCCCCCCCCCCGCATCCTCACTGGCTGTGATTAAACCAATGTCTTCCGCTGCTGTCTCTGAACCAATGAGGAGGAAGAGAGTGGAGCGAGCCTTTGCTCTCGTGCAGAGCACAAGGGGGGTGGTGGGGGTTAACTTAATGTATACAGTGCATTAGGGTAAAAAAGGCCTTTAGAACCACTTTAAATATAGATCTTAATGGTAGTGCTGATTGTAACTTTAAAAAAACAAAACAGAGCAAAACGTTTCAGCATTTGAGTTCTAATAGTGAATAATGGGGCCTCTTCATCCACTTCCCGTCTGCCGTACGTATATATACGTTCTCAGATGGGAACGTCAATATCTCGGTCATCACTGCAGCTTCAGCAATAATCGAGAGATCATTTTTACTGCTGATCCTGCACAAAGGTAAAAGTCATGGAGTGCCTCTACATCCAATCTCAGTTTGGTCAAATGCTTTGAAAGGCAGAGGAGAGATCTGGGGTCTAATAGACCCCAGATCTCTCCATACAGATGGCCTGTTATGGCCCATGCTATCACAAGGGATGGATGTTGTTCATTCCTTGTGATAGCAATAAAGTTAATAAAAAAAAAAGGTACAGTGTCAAAATATATTTTTAAAATAAAATGTTTTTAAAGTGCCCTGACCCCCCCCCCCCCAAACCTACGCCATTTCCCCTTTCACATGCAAATGTACGTGCATGCAGGTCCTGCATGAAATAGCACTGCTAAAGGGATTCTTATGTGATTTTCTATTTTTTTTTCCTTTCCTTCCGCCGTGGTGTAAGGAAACAAAATTGCATAATCTGTGGGCTTCTTTATAGTGACTCTGTTCAACCTCTACTACCCTCTGTGCTCCTCGACCCAGCAACACAGCCTACCCACCGATGTTGTGACCCTAAATAATGAAGGACTTAAATCACTTGCACCCTGATACGCCAAATCTCATCCAGAAGAACGAACACACACCTCAAAGTTTATTAAAATGATTAAGAACATCCACCATTAAACTCAAATATTAATGTATCCAGCCTGGTACCCAGGAATGGCAGCTTCAGCATGTAAAAGTCGCTGGCTCCACTAGTGCTTCCTACTATCCACGAGCTGACACTCTGTGCGGGATGACGTGAAGTATCCAGCCCCGCCCTACGCATTTCATCAATCAGGCATCAAAACCTTTCCTTGGGATGTGTGATGTAAGCATCCCAGGAGGCTTCAGGAAGGGAGGGGGACGTCATTCTCGTCCGGGTGAGAAAGTAAGTGGAGGGTCAGATCCCGCAAAAAAAAATTTAAGAAAAATAAAAATGGGGAGCTTATTATATATATAAAAATTGCTGTTCGAATTTGTCAATCATTTGCAAAGACAAAGAATCTTCATCATAATTTGTTTATAAAATGGAACTAAACTCCTTTCAATCAGCATGGACTATTTTTGTTCCTTTTGCTGCTAGCATTAGTCAATAGGAAGGTATAATATGTTTACAAGTTTTAAAGGATAAGATCACCTTTGGGGTAATATGTTCCCGCCGCTGCCCAATCCCCTCCCCACCTCCCTGTGACCGCAGTATGGGGAGTTCCCCGTACAAGCTGTCAGTTTTTTGAAAATGGCGGGGCTCCACCCACACAGGCGCATCATTCCTTCACAGAGATCTGTGAATGAATGAACTACAAGTCCCAACAGCCTTTGTGGATGTCAGCTTGTATTCTCTATGAACTGCCATGGCGCTGTAGTAGTTCATTGAGTCAGACTGCATCTGCTTGCCCGTTATGGGATGTCCTGCATGGCACCAGTCATCTGATCGCTGGCGCAATGTTTTCCAGGCTCCAAAAAAATAAAGTAAATGCAAAAAATGGGCATTTATTATTATTTTTTTTCAAAAAGTGAGCTTATACCTTTAAACTTTTTTTTTTTAATAGTTGCTTCCGGGCTTTGACCTAGGCCAAAATGATGTCATACATCCCAGGAGTCTCCATGGAATTTTTTTTATTTGCTTTCATCAGGAGAGGGGGCTTTCTTAGCTAAGCACACCCTCCTGTCTGCATGCCTGAGCTAAGGGCAGATGGATCCCAGGAAGTAAATGCTACAGGGATCATCTGCCCTTACTCAAAATGGCAATTGATAGAAATGCTGGGGGGGTATTTTTCAAAGTGATTTCTCAAAAAAAAAAAAAAAGCATGGAGACATTCTGGATGGGGGAGTTTTGCTTTAAAAATGAATTAAAAGTTTGCCTTTCTTCACATTACACCCATATTCAGGGTATACCACCCCTCCAATCCCCTGTTGGGACAGTGTGAGGGGGAACTTCTCACACTCGCTGTCCCATTTTTTTAAAAAAATGGCTGCCCACCTGGCAGCCTCATTCATTCACAGAGAACTACAAGTACTGACAGCCTAGGCCTGTTGAAGTGTTACTAAAACCAGGACCCTGCATTGACTATACCCCTCTCCTCCCGGACCTGCATTCACTATCTGGTCTCCCCAGACCCTGCATTCACTATCTGGTCTCCCCGGACCCTGCATTCACTATCCGCTCTCTCTGGACCCCATTCACTATATCTTGTCTCCCCGGACCCTGCATTCACTATCTGCTCCTCCCGGACCCTGCATTCACTATATCTGCTCTTCCCGGACCCTGCATTCCTTATCTGCTCCTCCCGGACCCTGCATTCACTATATCTGCTCTCCTCGGACCCTGCATTCACTATATCTGGTCTCCCCGGACCCCGCATTCACTATATCTGGTCTCCCCGGACCCCGCATTCACTATATCCGCTCTCCCCAGACCCTGCATTCACTTATCCGCTCTCCCAGGACCCTGCATTCACTATATCTGGTCTCCCCGGACCCCGCATTCACTATATCTGGTCTCCCCGGACCCTGCATTCACTATATCTGGTCTCTCCGGACCCTGCATTCACTATATCTGCTCTCCCCGGACCCTGCATTCCCTGTATCTGGTCTCCCCGGACCCTGCATTCACTATATCTGGTCTCCCACAGTACACACAACATAGAAATGCAATTATTTTAGTAAATATAAACTGCTAAATACCTTTTCTCACCAGCAATATATAGCAGTCTTGTGCCTTTTGTCAGTGTCCAGCAGAGCACTGGTTAATGCTTGCAGGAGTTTTCATTCTGTTCTAGGAGGATGCAGGACCCCTGACCCTCTGGACAGTGCTGATCACATGCACTCTTCCAAGAAAAAAAAAACCTCTAACAATAAACACCAAACTGAGCACGTGCTGCTTGCTCCCAAAGCTCTGTACTGCCAGCAGATGGATTGGGGATAGTTGAAGAGGGGGAGGATCAGAGAGGACAGGATCAAACAGCCTTTTTACACAATGCAGAGCATTAACCCCTTTAGGTTCCACAGTGAGTATAACAAGCATGCTTTACTGCATATACAGACTGATAGTACTGTTGTAGGTTTAGTAACATTTTAATTGATTCTTCCTATCAGTATGTAACTGCCTGGCTGTACGAGGTACAACCACGCAGCTTATACCGACAGTCTGCAGGAGCCTTGCATTGCACCCATGATCTGCTGATTGCAATGCTTTCTAGGCCCCTTGTCATAAAAAAAATTAATAAATGCACATTTTTTTACCTGCAAAAATATGTGCATTTATTATTATTGTTTTTGTGAACTTATCCTTTAAATCGCCTTTTCAGTTTGTGGCGCTCAGATACATGTTGTCGTGGCATTAATGTGGTATTTTTTTTTTTTCCTAAAATACCTCAATCAGGAAAAATTCTGCATTATTGCTACTAGATCCTAGGAAATTAATCCATTGGTAGCGATTTTCTTTTTTTTTTTTTTTTTTTTTTTTGTTTTTTAATACATAGACCCCTTAATGTCCAATTGTTTTTCGGAGGTGAGAAAATTCTGCAAAGTGATGTAAGAAGGGGAAGGTCCAGGATGCCAGTCTGTAACAGCAAATATTTCCCAACTACAGCTGGCGGTTTTATTCGCACCCCTATTTTCATCAGTTTATTTTTTTTTCTGCGATGTCAGGAATAAAGGGTTGTCTTCATGACCTAGGAGCTGACTGAAGCATTTTGTGGCGCTGGTGGTTTCCTATCTTTGAAAACGGGCACAAAATGCAGGCAGTCCCCCCCTCCCCCACCACCAGCAAGCGCTCGCACTTTGCGTCGGTATTAGAATCTTCCACCATTTCGGAATCATCTGTCAGCCACTGAATCCTAAACAAGGAGACTTCTGCATGTTGCCTTGATGTCTGTTAGTCTGTACATAAATTCCTGAGTTTGTAGGGCATTGATGAAGATGGCGGTTCCGGCCAGGTAAGCATGACAGGCGCACGGTTGTCATCCATGACTGTTAAAGGGCCTGTCATGTTTAAAGGGAACTCTACCTTTACAGTGTGTGGCAAAAAAAAAAATAAAAAAAGTTTGCTTCTGACAGATTCACTTGAAGTTTAATTGGGCACCAGAAATGTCCGTTGTTTCATTCACGGTTTTTAGTGGCATTTTAGAGGTTAATGATTGTCTTGTTTACCGCCTTGCCTGTTCATGTCACAACACTAATGGGTTCAAGTTTTATTACAGCCGAGGTGCAGAGGGCTGGACGTCTTCTGTTCAATACTGTTGCCCTTTAAAAACCCTCCACTTTGTATCCTGTAATCACAAGCTGTATGTAATCTATAATTGTCTCTAGTACTGGTGTCTGAAATAAAACATGAAAAACAGGCCTGTGTCTAATTAATGTGCAAGAATCACATGGAAAAGAAAAAAAAGCTTATGGCCGTAGACCACTGGTCTCCAAACTTCACCCCGGGGGGCCGGATGTGGCCCATTGCTTGCCTTTATCTGGCCCTTGGAGCACTTTATCTCCAACTGACACCAATGACGGGGCACTATTCCTCCCACTGATACTAATGTCCACTGATACCAATGATGGGGCACTATTCCTAACACTGACACCAATGACGGGGCACAATTCCTCCCACTGATACCAATGATGGGGTACTATTCATCCCACTTACACCAATGATGGGGCACTATTCCTCCCACTGATACCAATGATGGAGCACTATTCCTCCTACTGACACCAATGATGGAGCACTATTCCTCCTACTGACACCAATGATGGGGCACGATTCTTTCCACTAATACCAATGATGGGGCACTATTCCTAACACTGACACCAATGACGGGGCACAATTCCTCCCACTGATACCAATGATGGGGTACTATTCCTCCCACTGACACCAATGATGGGGCACTATTCCCCCCACTGATACCAATGATGGGGCACTATTCCTCCCACTGACACCAATGATGGGACACTATGCCTCCCACTGATACCAATAATGGGACACTATTCCTCCCACTGATACCAATAATGGGACACTATTCCTCCCACTGATACCAATGATGGGGCACTATTCCTCCCACTGATACCAATGATGGGCCACTATTCCTCCCACTGATAGCAATGATGGGACGCTATTCCTCTCACTGACACCAATGATAGGGCACTATTCCTCCAACTGACACCAATGATAGGGTGCTATTCCTTCCACTGACACCAATGATGGGATGCTATTCTTTCCATTAATACCAATGATGGGATGCTATTCCCCCCACTGATATCAATGATGGGACACTATTTCTCCCACTGACAACAAAGGGGCACATTTCCTTCCACTGATACCAACAATGGTGTGCTATTCCTCCCACTGACATAAATGAAATAAAATATGAAAAACAGGCCTGTTTGTAAAGAATGTTAAGAATTAAATGGGGGAAAAAAAAGCTTATGGCCGTAGAGCTCCAGTCTCCAAATTGCAGCTCATGGGCCAGAGTGGCCCTGTGCTTGCCTTTATCTGGCCCTTGGCGCACTATTCCTTCCTCTGATACCAATGATGGGGCACTATTCCTCCCACTGATACCAATGATGGGGCACTATTCCTCCCACTGACACCAATGATGGGACACTATTCCTCCCACTAACACCAATGATGGGGCACTATTCCTCCCACTGATACCAATGATGGGGCACTGTTCCTCTGACTGACACCAATGATGGGGCACTATTCCTCTTACTGACACCAATGATGGGGCTCTATTCCCCCCACTGATACCAATGATGGGACTCTATTCCCCCCGACTGATACCAATGATGGGGCACTATTCCTCCCACTGACACCAATGATGGGGTACTATTCCTCCCACTGATACTAATGATAGGGCAATATTCCTCTCACTGACACCAATGATGGGGCACTATTGATTTTTTATTGAAAAGAATCAAGCAACAGAATTTTATACAAAAGTAAAAAATCATAACCATAGTACAGTCATACAACAGAAAACAAAAGGAATGTCCAGAATATATACAATATATACATAGTTTACTACCAAAATTTTCAGACTATAGTAAACAATTTACATAAAGCAGCAGAGAGGGCCTAAGAGGCACAACCCATCACCTATGTACTCAGCCATCTTTCAAAAATTGAGCATCAAGGGAAAAAAAAACTCGGGTGATAAGAGACAGACAGCCACACCCTGGAAAGAGACTCCTAGTAGTCAGGGAGGCATGAAACCCCTCCACGCCTTCAACCAAGCCCCCCGACCCCACTTGTCTCTCTCAAGCATACGAATCTTCCCCACCTTATGCAAAATATCACACACCACCACCTGAACAGGAAGAATTTTACGCCAAGTGGTGACTTGATACCATGCGTTCCAGGTGAAATAACGGACTACTACGCTAACTAAAAAAAAAAGTGTATTCAAACAAAAAGCCCCACTAGTGTTGAATGCTCCGTACACCCACTCAGCATAACCCAGCCTAGAGAGGAAAGGAACACTGAGGGCCCGCCCCACCTGTTTGTATACCTCTATGTTAAAAGGGCAATGAAGCAGAAAATGGTCCATAGTCTTCTCCTCACCTGGACACTCCTCCTGAGGACAACTACGATGCATCTCACTGTGATATTTCAAATTGCCCCAAACATGGAGCCTCCCATGGAAGCACAGCCAGGCCAGATTCCTAAATTTTAGGGGGACTCTATCCAAATGAATCAGCCTTAACCCTTTATAATTTCAATTGGGAAATCCCTTAAGGCCAATGAAAGACTTCACTCAAGACCCAGCTCATAAGGACTTTTCTCAGAGCGGATCTGAGATCTTCAGCCGACAATTGCGACTGCCACAGCAACTTCAGGCACGGAGAGACGTAGGCTAGAAGCTGACCACGATGACCTCTGAGATTCTTCACTTGGCCACCTTCTTCTTGAAGTCATAGAAAAGGCCTAAACCAAGATCTAAACATGCCTGCCCATCCAGGAGGTTCCACTGCAAGCATCTTAGCAATGTTAAACTTGAAAAAAAGCAGTGAAAAGAACTGGGTTGACCATACCTAAGCCTCCCTCCCTCCTGAACAGATAGGGGACGTTCCTCTTGATGAGGTTCAGTCTGTTCCCCCACAGCATCTGGAAGAACACACTAGAGACCCTAGCATAGAGAGACACTGGCAAGATGCAGACAAAGCTGACATACAAGATTGGAATCAGGTAAGTCTTAATCAAATCAATCCTTTCCCTAAGAGACAACTTTCATCTCTTCCAGCTGATCACCTCAGTAGTGGCAACTTCCAGCCTGCCTTCCCAATTTTTAAGGCCATAATAGCCGGGTCCGAATTCAATGCCTAGTATCTTAATTTTTTCCTGGGGCGTTGGAAAGGCGTTCCAGGAGATCAAACACCTCACCTTCCTTTCCCTTCCAGAAAACGTTACTCTTATCCTGATTGATCTTGGAGCCTGATGCTTCAGAGTACCGTGATGTCAGAGAGACCACCTCCTCTGCTTCATCCGTCCCAGTGACAATCACTGATACATCGGCAGCATAGACAACAACCCTCAAAGATGGCTCACCCGGGAGCCCCACTGGTGCCCCACACAACATGCCGCTCTCTATCCTTCTGATGAAGGGGTCAATTGCAAACACATAGAGCAGGAGACTCAGAGGACAACCCTGGCTCAC